CCGAGGTAAACAAAAAACACTCAACAGCATTGGCATCAATTAAAGAAGAGTTGTGCTTCAGTATCTTCGCAACCGCGCTGATAGCATTTTCCGTAGCGGCTGCATCTTCTGCAGTCGACCTTGCTTCTTGACGATTAACTGTTTCAGCAAGATGTGGTAAAGCATCTGAATAAAACCACAAAGAGCATAAGTGTTCTTCAAAAATATTTTCTAATCAAAAATGCATAGGTAAGATGAAAGATAGATCAGAAAACTGACCTTAACTAAAAGAAACAATTCTTACCAGCACACGCTTCAGCGTAGTTGGGTCCACCCACTTGACCCATTATACCAAAACCATAAGCAGCAGCTTGGCGAACTTCTGGACTTTCATCAGACAAAGCGGTTATCATAGGTCCATAAAACTTCTGTTGATACTTCACACTACCCTAAAAAAAATAAATAATAAAGAAAAACCACTGAACAAATCAAATTCCTAAGAAGGGATATGGAAAGTAATTTATGAAAAGCTCTCCTACCTTGTTTCAGAAATAAAAATACTTCATTGAAGACATCGTAAATTTGTTTTTATTTTGTTAAATTCGCAGAGAATAAATGATCAGAAAGTTTTAAAAAACCAATAAACTCATATAACATACACCATACTTTAAAAAGGTAATTAAATAAAGTGACGAACCGGCCCACCATACTCTATTAAATCGTCATACATGCAGATCGCCCACTGCTTTTCGGCATAGTAATTTCGAGCGTTTAATAATGGTGCAAACTGCACTTCAAGCTCATCAAAATAGTGCAGGAACGTCTCTCCAAAAGTCTAAGTTTTGTCAAATAAATAGAACCAGGAGAAAGCGAGAAACCATAAGAAGCTTACAGAAAACCGAGGCATTAAGTACGATAACTCATCCTCACCATAAACAGGAAATGAATCATGTCTGATATCCTTGCCAACACACCAATCTCCTCTTCAATTTCTTCATTTAGCGCTTCTGCTACGTCCTCATCGTCCTCGTCCTCATCCCTTTTCTTTTCTTGAACCAGAAACATTAAAACGGGGACTAGATACGTCCCTCATGCCAAAATTTTTATATAAAACTGCAAAACTTAGGAAGCGGACTTCCATCTAAATATGAAGTCCCCCACGTCACGAATTTAAATCATTTTCAAAAATAATTTGACAATAAACAGATTACTTTCTCTTTCATTTTTTCTCTCCCAGTATTTCACCATCTGTTTGTTAACAATGGCCGATATAATAGCCAGTTGCTCCTCCGTAACAAGCTCTCTTCCCAATTCTTCAACACACTGAAAAAAACGGGGAAAATTATGAGGACAAGAAAGAGAGCACAGCCAAGAGGAACAATGATAAGAAAAATGAATCTCGAAATCAAGATCCGATGCAAATAGAAACCAAGCCAAGTCCATGAAGATGGTCAGCTAAGACATCCAAATCGTTCTCCTCCTCGATTGCCTTTTGAAAAGCAGGTAATATTGCAGCCCATAATCTCTCTCTTAATTCCTGGCCTCTCGGACGGGCACACTCAAGCAGGCAAGGTAGACAATCGGCTGCTGCAGACCTCACATCTACAAAAAACCTCACACTAGATAAGTTTCATAACTTCACACTATCCCTCATTAATTGAACAACAAAAACAAAGAAAACATACTTCCATGGAATAAAAATTTAAGCAGAGACAGCATCAAGTCAGCCACTTGCTCCACATAAGGAGCAAACGCTCCTTTCATTTCTCGTGCATAGCAGACCAACATTTCGCACGCGGTCGCCTTGTCTTCTAAGCCCGACGTCTTAATCCCAAAAAACCTTTGGTCTCCTAATGGAACAAAATTCCAATCTGGGTCTTCCTTTTCATCACTAACGTCTGCATCTAAAATTTAAGAGGAAATAAATTCAAAGTACACCAACAGGAGTAATGAAAAGTAAGGTCCATACATACCATCCATGACTGCCACATCAGGCTTGAAAGAGGCAGCACGCATAACAGGCGGCATAACCAACGGAAGATAAGTTGCAAACTGTTCGCCCAGAATCTTACATATCCGAGCCCACGCGCTTATCATGTAAGATATCTATAAAAGACCACCATCCATCGAAACCACTCAAGAATAAGCTTAAACCAAAAAACAATTTCATTTATTCCGCAGAACCTCTGGATCATCCGCAGCACTATCTTGGAAGTAAGCTTGATTTGACAACAACATCTCCATAATCTCATTCGCATCCTTCCCAAACTACAAACAAATGATTCAGAACCTAGTTTGCTGTGAAAAGTAAGAAAAAAATTCTAAATATTTCTTATAAAGTGAGACAAATAAAAAAAAGACCTTTTCCTTCCCAACAGCCAAACCGATTAGTGAAATACATTCAATTGTCTTCCCTCTGAGCGTTTTTAACTCATTAGCTTTTGCATTTTCTAGTATATACTTTAAAGGCGTAATTAACCTGAAATTTGGTTACAGTAATAAGTTCTAGAAACAGCTACACACGTTCCATAAAATGTAAGTTTCAAAGACTTAATACACCATAATAACCAAACAAACAGATTTTTATGACTTTTATGCCAAAAAATAATTCGAAAATTTGACTTATCCTACACACAAAATCTCGTGCTCATACCTGTCGTAAAATGTAACAAATTGATCCTGAGCAGCATCAGCCACCGATGCTATAGTAGTGATAACCTGTTCAAGTACCAGTTTCTTCCCACACTCTTGCAGCTAAAAAAAATCTGTAAAGCTCTGTTACAATTTTCAAAACATTCTAATAGCTATTTGTAGCAAAGGATACCTTTGGTGATATATAACTTGAAGTAAAGCACTTCCTACTGTAGGTCATCACTACTGCTTATCATCGAGAAAACAAGACAAAAACCATACTGAAGACACCTGTTTAAAAGTATGTTCCAGAACAAACTCCAACTTCTCCATAACCTGTGGCAAGTAGAGAGAGATGATACTTTTAGGGCAATCTTCGCTAAAATTAACCAAAGCTGCTCCAGCATGAGCGGCCACTCTTGGACACGTGAGATCAATTAATTGCGTGCACAAACCTTGAACGACCTGGAAAAACTACTTGAAAATACAAAAAAACGACTGTAAAGCACGTGCAATAAAAGCTAAAAAATAGTAGAAAACCTTCTCATGGCACTTCTTTTGTAAAGTCGGAGCGAAATCGCTAGACATTTGCCCAAGAGCATTGCAGGCTGCATAACGAACACGTGGGTGCTGAAACAATGCCGTACCTTGAAGAGTAGTGAAGACGAGGCATACCAGTTAAAACTAAATGTTTTTTTTTTTTAAAAAAACACCTAAGGCCTACCTCATCTTGTAAAAATGGAAGAATATTATTAACAATATCTTGTATCAAAGGCTCCATTTGACGCTTACACCCTTCTCCAACGGTTGAAAGACCCATAATACCAGCATGTCTATTTTTCCAATTTTCACCTGCAAAAGGGTTTCTAAAAACCCTTTGTTCAGTACACTGCTTTTTTGTCAGCTAGAATCATCTGCCGTTAGCGAAATAAAGCCAATTAGAAAAGAATAAAAGCCCACAACTTTAAAAAAAACTTACGGTCAGAAATCAACTGCGAGACAAGCTGCAAGAAAGGTGCTAAAACGGCTTTACCCCCAAGACTACAGGAAATACGATCTAATGAAGATTCACCAATACCAACGTTTCTAGAACAGTTAAATAACGACAATACTCTCTCTCTCTCTCAAAATAAAAAAAATTTTTTTTAAAGAACCATAAATGTAGATGAACAAGAGTAGAAAACAACCAGCCGTCCAACACCAATCAAAAAAACATACTCCTCTTCAGTCTCATTATCCGCATCATCGCAACTAAGCCATTCTTCAGTTTCGTCGCTAAGTTCTGTCATTAACGATAGACACTGCTGAACTAAACTGGCCTAGTAAATTTCTGAACCAAAACAGCAAGGAAAAAAATTGTTAGAGAATAATCAACGGTACAATAATCACAATAATCAATCTTTTAGAACCAAATGAACTAACGCATATTTGGAATATACTTCGCCGCCTTTTTCTTGACCATTGCAGTAGCACTTTCACAGAGTGAAACAAGCACCTCCAACGCACTATGGCGATAAATATCATCTTTTTGTTCATGGGCGACAGTCTAAAACCCATTTTATACGCAAAGTGTTCGTAGACCTCGTCAATAACACTAGCCAAAGAAGCAAAAAACATAGCAACACAAACCGACAAACATAGTTCAAATATACTGTTGAGATGTGGCTGTAAAGTTTTAGGAATACTTGTAGCAAGATCACATAGGCACTGCAATGGAACATCATCGTCATTTTCTGTGGCTACTACGTGCTGGCAAACCTAAAACCAAAAGACTCACAGAATTTTAAGAACTTGAAGTTACATCAAAACCAGTTTTCTAACGAATGACAATGAAAGAAATAAGTATTCCGGCTTTTTCACTCACGCCAAAAAGTCAAAAATAAATAGACAAAGATTACCTGTATCACAGCCGAGACCTGATCAGACAATGCCTTCAAAACTTTGTCGTCATCTTCGTTTTCACACATAAATGCTACATAGGCTCTAACTGCTGCGGTACGAACTGAACTTTCTGCAGCGTATAATAAAGAAGTTTGAAACATCTGTTTGATTCCAGGAAGATAATTACACTGTTCAACTCCAAAAATAGATGGCATATTTCTGTAACACCGATATCTGTTAACCAAATCACTTTAAATTACACTGTTTTCCACATAACCTTGATCCTCTATATGAAAGAAACTATGACATGGTATAAACGATGAATAACTCAAAATGCCTATTAACTATCAAATTATTGAATGGTAAATACAGACTCAATCAAAATCATCCCAGTTTCTCTTAGAGTTGCCAACTGAGAAGTTCTACACAACTCTAAAAACTGCAAAACACCCGTCCACGTCTGCCTTCCATTATCAGCATCTGGAAAAGAAACCAAATGAGAGCGAACAAAAGACAATAAAAGAAATAAAACGAACCCGTTATATTACCTAAAGTATATCTGGCGACTTCAGCAATAACATCTGCTAATCTTTTCCTTAACAAGGGAGTTTTTTCTTCTGCTGCTGATTTCAAAAGTTGGTTACAGAACTGTTCTCGAGTCTCCTCATCCCAAGCTCCCCAAATCTCATCCCAATGTGAGGACAGTGCCCGTCGCAGCAAAACCATACACAAAGCCCGAACCTTTATTTTAATGCTTCATTAGAACCGAAAACTCAAAAATAAAAGAAATTTGACAATCTGAATGAAGTCCACTTAATTCTACCCAAAACCATGCATTTCAGAGGAAGGTTCTTTCCCACCTGAATCCATAAGCAAATTTACCTCTGTACTTGCAGAGTGATCCAAGAAAAGATGGAAAAGAAGTTGCCCCTTAGTCGTGTTGGGAATCTGATCATATTGCTTTTCTGCTATATTTCTCGTCTCATTTTCTCCGCTTAACATGTGAGTCACTAAAGTATGAAAGTCCTGAAGCGTCCCCATTTTTATACACAGACTAAACAACAAAGGGCAAGTTCAAACTGCAACTCCTTCTCCCACGGCCAAGCACTCAAAAACACTCCTAAAAAGTAAAGATAGATAAAGAAGCATTTTAAGGGAAAACACACAAAACCCCGTTCAAAGCAAATTTAAAATTTCCACAATTAAAATGATAAACAAAACAGATAACTTCCTCAAGAAAAAAAAAAGAAAAAACAAAAAAACAAACAAACAAAACTGAAAAGACTAGAACTGTTCCTTCAACATAGTTAATAAAAGTGCTCCAAAACACGATCCAATGAAACAGCAGATCTTTCTTTTACAATTCGTACTAGCTGTGTCTGTCACGATAAGTAAAGTGCTTTCTAAGATACACCTAAATTTTCATTAACAGAAAAAATGTTTAACAAAATTAAAAGATGTTTTTTGCCACTGTTAACCTGCATAAAGCATTCCCGCTAGAAGAAGAAGA